ATGGAAGAAACCTGGCCTAGTTGCCAAGAATATAGCCCTGCTCATGCGTTGCAAAGGTACCCCAAAAAACTTTTTTTTAAGTTTGGGACCCCAGCCACCCTAACATGGCTTTATATGTGCTATTTATACCTCACTCCAAGCAGGATTATCCACTCTCTGCCAGCTGGACAATTCATACAGGGCTGAATATGACTGGACAATTGCTGGACACCTTGGAACGGTCCAGATGCTGCCCAGCAGTGGCGCTGGCCATTTTCGTAGGACCTGTCCATTGTCCAGCAGGCCTCACTAGGTACATATTTTTGTGACCGAATTAAGTGTAATTAGGGGGTGGAAAAGGTAACCTGAGGTGGGTTTGCCGGGTCTCATTCTGATATGTGAGATGTCGCCCGGACTTGCACTTTTCTGGGTCACACTGAAATCCTTGTTGTATCAGTGGCGGTGGCAGTACATGCAACCTCGAACTCGATCAGTTTGGCCCAGCCTTGCGATGGATGTCGTATGAAGCCTCGCGCGCGGGACTGCGGATGTCAGACTTCTTGGGCAAGTGGGAGCAACTCGATCCCACTAATTCCATGAAGTGGTATTGGAAAATCCTCGAATGCTTTCCCTTCAAACGTCTGTCCTATGACCCAAATAAGCATGGCGAGCACACGATTTACAGGTCAATGTCTGGTGGATGTATTTGTCTACTTCGCTGATCCGCATCCCTATTTTCACCCAGACCTCACCTTATGTCACCTCGGCAGATTATGCCCGGTCAGCTCATACACGAATCGGTCCTCCTTCACTTGAGTCAATCTGCAGCCCTGCGGCCGGAGGAACACTCTCCTCCATGCCGTGAAGGTTCCGTATCCAATCAATCCCAAACCACTTCTGCTCGTCTGCAGGGTCCACCTCCGTCCACGACACAGTCTTTTCCCAGGTGGAGGGCTCGTCTTCCGTCTGGGACGGACTGGCAGGCCGTTTTGACGCAGTACAAGAAATCGGACAAACACTGGATCGAACGTGACCCTTACATATCCGCGAAGGAGGTGGTTAAGGACGTCTTAGATGCGAAACTTTCAGACGCTGATCGGCACGTGCTTGTAACTCTGATATCATCAGGTCAGTCAGTTCGCTATGCTCACCCAGAGCAACACGTAATTCCTCTGCTGTTTTAGAGGATGGCAAGCAGTCCATAGCGGATAGCGCTGGCATCTCTGACCTCTTGGCTACCCTCAAAATGGTGAAGCGCGCCGAAGGGGTTGAGCCAGAGCTACCGGAGACCCAAGCTATACACCTCATCAACTGCCTCATTGCTCTTCGTGCCTTTCCTGTCCAACTCTCCAGGTACAGCGACGCAGAGTGCACATGGTTACGCGAAGGAGGGCAGATCCTGTCTCGGAACAGCTGGACCCGCCCGGATATACGCCTAATCTTGGAAGAGATTGACCGTCCGTTCCGTACAAGGGCAGCAAGCCTCGTGAAAGATCTAATGGATAGCCACTATCTCTCAGATGACACTCGGGATTTGATATGTGCCGTCGCGGAAACCCGTGAGTCTGCCATCTTCCTCTCTTATGCAGTAACGCTCATATTTCACACCAAGCATTCGGGAGGCAAACGATCGCGGCAATTGTTAAGGAATCAGAATTAGTAAAAGCTCTCAAGGCCGTACAAAGCGACGCGGCATGGGGCTACCGTGAAGAACGGATCACGGACTTGCTGATCATACTGGGCGCGTTTCCTTTGTTATCTGAGGGTACTGAGCGATATTTGGAGCGCAACCTTGCGAAGCTCCTCCCCCTGGTCGAGCCGCGATCAGGTGCTCAGATGGCGATCGAACAGATCGTTCGTCCATTCTGCAAAAGATCTCCGGAGATCGTAGATACTCTTCTCCGGCGGGCCCTCTCCACCGCAGAGCGTGGTGTCCTCGATACGCTTTTATTGACAGGTACGCCGACACACCTCTTGACTCGGACAGCCTGGTTCTAATTCTTGGATAGAAATTGGAAAACAATCAATTGCAGCAACGGATAAGGCCTCTGAGCTCTTCCACGCCATCAAAGAAACGCAGAAGGACAGCTCAATCAAGACGAAATCCCGTAGGGCACGCACCACGGATCTGGTGACGGCCCTCGGTGCATTCAGCTCGCCTTTCCCCAACATGGAGGTGTTCCTGGAGGATGAATTTGCGAAAGTGATATCAGATCTCAACACCGATCGACCCGGTCTATCACCTGCTATCCAGCGAATCACAAACTCCTTCCGCACTCGGGCAGAAGAATTGGTTGTCAAACTCCAGCAAGCAGGGCTCCTTGACGCAGATCGGGAAGTTCTCGATAGGTTGTTATCATCAGGCATGTTGGCTGCGCACATCTTCCGGCCTCGGTTTCTCATATTCGTTTCACCCAGACATCGGTCAGGAATCTATACGGCAGAGTGCCGATTCAACGAAGCTTTTGGAGGTTCTTGAGGCTATTCCCACCAGCGAGATGGAACCTGATTTGCGGGAATGTCGCGTCACCGACATAGCCCTTGTTCTCGGCACATTTTCATCGCTACCGCAAGACGGGAGGCAATATCGCGAGCAGCTATTGAAGGGACTGCTAGCAAACGTGGATCATGAGCGATCTGGAATCCGCGAGGCCGTGGAACGTGTGACGCAGACCTTCAGCGGCCGTAAGCAAGCTAGTGTTCTCCCTCCTACGGCGGCTTCTCAACCCATTTACAGGACTGCAAAAGGCGATGCGAGGCCACACCGGCCGTATCATGTCTGTTTCCCTCTCCAGAGACGGTTCCCGCGTTGCCTCGGGTTCCGGGGATAGATCGATTCGAATATGGGACCTCGCTTCAGGACAAGAAAGCGGGGAGCCGCTGACAGGGCACACGGACGCTGTTGCTTCCGTATCTTTTTCTTATGAGGATCCCGGAAATCGCCTTGCCTCCTCCTCGCGCGATGAGACCGTGAGGCTCTGGGACACGAGCACACGTCAGCAGATCGGAGAGCCACTTCGAGGTCACACGAGAGTGGTTTGGTGCGTCGCCTTCTCCCCCAACGGCAAGCTCGTTGTCTCGGGCTCGAACGACAACACCCTCCGGCGTTGGGATGCGCGGACGGGGCAAGCCATCGGTGAACCTTTGCGAGGCCACGCCGATTGGGTCCAGGACGTTGCGTTCTCGCCAGACGGGAAATACATCGTTTCCGGATCCGACGACAAGACGGTCCGAGTCTGGGAGGCCGAGACGGGCAAGGAGGTCGGGGAACCGTTGCGGGGGCACGACGCTCCCGTCTACGCCGTCGCGTACTCCTTCGACGGGGCCTACTTCGCCTCGGGATCCGGGGACAACACGATCCGGGTCTGGGACGCTCGGACGAGGAAAATGGCGCTGGACCCCTTTCGAGGTGACAAGAACGACGTGAACTGCCTGGCGTTCTCGCCGAACGGCAAATATCTCGCTTCTGGCTCTAACGACGGCACCGTCCGGATATGGGACACGCGGCAAGCAGGGAGAACCGTGATGGAGCCGTTGGAAGCGGACCCCAACTCGGTCAACTGCATCGTATTCTTGTCCGACAGCAAGCGCGTCGTCTCGGGCGGCTGGGATAACGTGGTGAAGATTTGGGACGTGGAGATTGATTGATCCGACCTGGCATGCCATGTCGAATGAGAAGCGGAGGGGAAGTTTTGAGGGTTCGGGTTTGCATCTGCATTCAACTCTGTGTGCGCGCGATATAGAATGTATGGAGTATTGCACAATTGCCTATATCCTTCTTGGGAGCGTCGACGTGTCAGGCTGAACACACCAAACAACGATAAATCATTGCAGAGGGTATATATTCCGAACTGTGTGATGTACTATCCGAAAAGATGCCATGGCCCCGTATGTTACACAGCACCCTGAGCATGCCATCCGACGACGACACCAGTCCAGGAAATGAAATGGAGACAGATGCCAGGCAACGAGTCCATAATAATAATGATGTGATGGAGGAAAGATGAAGAAGGCGAACCGATTAGGGGGCTTCAGTACGAGATATTACTACCTCCGAACGATCGCGAATCAGGGTGGTACGAAACGTCGGTCTCGAACACCTCCCTATGAGAAGAGAACGCAGCCCAGGAAATCGTCATCGTGCTGGGATGTTATCGTGGCCTACAAAGCGCCGGCGACGATGAGGCCGCTGATGCCCATCATGGCCTGGTTCATGGCGTTGATGATCTCGGGGTCCTCCGGGGTCGAGCTGACGACAGCCGCGGCCGAGCTGGACACAGCCGAGCTGGACGCGGCCGACGAGGACGGCGCGGCGCTCGAGCTCGAGGGAGGGGCGGACGAGGAGGGGGCCTCGCTGCTGGAGGACGAGCTCCACGAGCTGGAGGACGAACTCCACGTGGAGGACGTGCTCGACTTGTGCTTCTTGCTCGAGGTCGTGGTCGGCGCTTCCCAGGTGGAGGTGGTAGAGGGAGGCTCCCAAGTGGAGGTGGTAGAGGGAGGCTCCCAAGTGGAGGTGGTGGAGGGCGCCTTCCAGGTCGAGGTCGTCTTGTGCGTGGTGTGGGTCGAGGACGTGGTCGGGTCGCTGCTGCCGTCGTTGAAGGACCACTCGCCGTACAGGACGCCGACGGACTCGTCCGCGAAGTGGTCGAAGAGGCCGCGGGAGAAGTCGAGACCGCCGTATGGGCAGCCGGGGCACTGAGGCCGGCATGAGAATAGATACACAGCGAATGGTTTGAAAGATGAGCGTTACCTCGTCGGTGATCTGAGCCTGGGCCGTCTTGCCGTTGACCGTGATGGTGATCATGGCGAAGCAGTGGGGGCCGGGATAGCCGCCTCCGTACTGGGCGCTGTTGAGGGCGACGATCTGCAGAAAAAGACGGCGTCGTGAAAAATCCTGATATGGACACGCGACAAAAGAATGCATACGAAGTCACTGGGGACGTTGTTAATGCCACAAGCGCCACTACAGCACAGTATTGTCCGTCAGCATCACACATCGAAGAACGGATTCGACGACCACTCACAGGCCAACATCGTAGAACGTGAAGCGAGCGTTAGAGAACCGCTTGTGCAGCTGGATGTCGCCCGATGCGCGCTTCGCGATGCCGTTGTGGCGGCGATGAACGGGAACGTGCTCCGCCGAGACGAGCGGCGTCGCGACAGCGAGCAGGGAGAGGAGGCCGAGCGAGAACTTCATCGTTGGATATGAATGTGATGGGGCACGTTGCTAGGTGTGTTGTGGGCTGTCGATTAACCGTCCTCGTCGGGGGCGAGCGTGTAAGAAGGTTTTTGTGTAGCGAGCGTAAAGGTGGACAAAAGACCGTGGATTGGCTAGAAAGCCAGCTGGCTATGGTACGCAGCAGCGGGACGAGGTCGGGAACGAGGGCAAGGTTAAAGGGTGGGAAAGTTGCCCTATCGACGCATGTCGGACCTCCGGCGCTGTTGGATGGTGTCAGGGGTCTCATCAGGTCTCGTCTCGCTCACACGCGGATCCGTCGCCGGACGTCGATCCTCCTTGTTTTTTTTCTCTCCCTCTCTTCCTGACATGAAAATAACAGACGAAAAAGAAATGGATTGCTCTATATGGACAGCCATACTTGTGCTACAGCACGCCCTTTGTATGTTACACTTCAAAGCAGCAGACTAACCAGAGAGACTGAGATATCCGAGTTTGTGAGTTTGTGTGTGCTCCGTCTGAGGTCCATGGTAGAGGCGACGAGCGGGCAGCAATGATGCGGCGTTTTGTGTGCAAGAGATTCTGTGGGATAAATGGGGTGTCGAGGGAGGAACATAAATTGACCGACCGCTCAGCCAACAGGGTATAGCAGGAGCAACGAACGAGGGGGCGGAGCAAGGGAGGGGATACTGTTTTCAGAGATCGACATGATATTCGGTTTAGCAACGGCGGCGTCGTGACTGTTCGTACGCCACGAGCGACCCATCTACTGATAGGTCATCCCGGGCGGGTTTTGTTGGTACAGTTGATACATGTAGTTCTGGTAGAGCGGAGGCTGGACGGATTGCGCCTGCGGGGAGCCCATCACGCCGTAGGCGGGCTGACCCATGCCAAGCATGTTGCCGGCTTGGCTGAGGCTTCCGGGGGATCCTCCCTGATAAACGGGGCCGGGAGACATCGACGGACCCGGCGGCAGATTGCCGTTGCGGCGACCGCCGCGGCCGGGCGAGGACACATCGGGTGAGCGCATCCCGAAGGGGTTGAAAGGGTCGGACGTCGGAGAGAATGCGAGGCTGGCGTTCGGGTTCGTGGCGCGGCGACCGCCGTTGTTCTGTGCTTGCGGCGGCTGCGGCGGGAGCTGCTGCTGCTGGCCGTAGGCCGGGTCGATCGCGAGCTGCGAGTGCGGGTTCGAGTGCGGGTTTTGGCCGGCCATCTGAAGCGAGGCCATGAGTGAGGCCAAGCCCTGGTCGTTGTTCGCGTAGGCGGACGGCAGACCCGGGACACCGAAGCTGTTTTGGTTAGACAACTTGCCCTTGGTGCCGGGCGGCGGGACGTTGTTGTACGTCGGCTGGAAGTTCGGAATGGGAAGGCCAACTTCCTCGATCAGGCGGCGATAGGCTTGCGTCGCGATGACCTTGAGCTCGATGAGGACACGCTTGGTCGCCTCGATATACTGGGGACGCTTGGCCGGGTCGATGAAGGGCGTTGTGAGGATCTTGTGGACGACGGCGACGCCGTTGACCTGGTCACCCAGAACGTCCGTAAGGACGTGATCGCCGGGAGAATTGAACAGCGCATCAACGATCTGGGCGGAGGCCTCGGGCTCGACTTTCTGGTTCACGATCCGGAGAACCGTGAGCGAGGCGAGCTTGTGCGTGCACAAGTGCGAGAGGTGCGGCGTGAAGCGCGGCGCCAGCAAGTTGTACCTCGACGGGAAGCCCGAGGTATCCAGGAGCCACGTCAAGAGCAACGCGCCGTTCGGGTTTGTCGTCAACGGAATCGAGTTGAGGATGATGGCGGTAGCAACCCGTCGCTGCTGGTTGATCGTGATCAAAGGGCTCTCCAAGCAGGCCCTCATGCTGCGAGCACCGAAACGACCTTGAGCGATTTCCCACAGACGGTCGACCATTGCGTCGAAGATGAAGTCGTTGGCGGGAGAACCGAAGCGCAGGCAGCATCTGGATGACGAGACTCAGATGTGTGGTCATTACCGTTATAGCGACATGCAACTCACTGGACAACGTAATTCCCGAACTGGTCGAGAAGCAGCGGGGGGCCGTAAGGACGGAGGTTCTGAGCAATCAAGGCAACTTCCTCAGGCGTCTGAACACATTCGATGATCTTCTGCGCGGCCCACGTCCCGTTCTTGTGGATGCCAATCATGGCTAGGTGGGGGCTAAGTCGCTCGAGCATCGCCATTCGAGGGGCGGGCGAGCACTTCTCGAAGAGCTTCTGAACCACCTGCGAAGCGACTCAGACTTCAAGAACGAAACAACCCACGATGGCCGGACTTACTGTGTTGCCAAGCCAGTCGGAGGCCAAGTCGACGATCTCGCTATCGAGGAACTCCGAGGCGGTCGCGTCGATCTCTTCGAGGGTCATCGAGTTCGAATCCATACGCTTGCGCAGCTCACGGAGCTTGGAGGCATCCCATCGCCTGGTGTTGGGACGTTCGGACACGAGCGGAATGGTCGTGTAGTACATCGTAGGAGGACGGAACTCTGTTCAACGCATGAGTACCCATATCCCGAGTCGCGCTACGGAGGGAACTCACCTGCGAGCGCCACGATCTCTTGCTCCGCGTCCGGAGCCCCTCCACTAAGCTCCCTGAAGATCATCTGCTGCTCTGTAACCGACGACGGCCACACGCCCGGCTTGGGCAAACCCTCGATGGTGTGCGCCCCCGAACCAAGCATACTCAACAGCAGGTTGGAGCGGTAGTTCTCGACCGCGCCGCTCAGGACCTGCTGGTCGGTCGGGATCGCCGAGGCACCCTTGACGTTGCGCAGGGCGTGGATGGACGCTCCGACGCTGAGCTCTCCGATGCCTCCGACGGGGAGCGACGGTGCTGCGCCGTCCTCATTCGACGCGCCTTCGGCGGCATTCTTGACCGGAACCTTGGCAAAGCCGATGCGGATCGCGCCGACGTCGCTACCAAGGATGTCACGCCCATTGAGCGCTTTTCGGGCACGCACAGCGTCGTCCAAACGCTCAAAGTTAACTAGCGATGAATGCTGGTTTAGTCACGATAAACACCGCGAGTAGGTAAAGACGTACTGAAGCCGCAGTTCTTGTGAGTGAGAACACGCGCAGACTCGATAGGACCATAAGGACTGAAGACACTCAGGATCGCCGCCGGAGTGGTCGTCGACGGGATGGATCCAATCCACAGAGCCCGGGTCGGGGTCGACTGCAGCTGAGCGTCCATGCCGCTCACGCCCGACGGCGTGCCGGGGGACTTCGTCAACGCGCCCGGAGTCGTCGGGGTCGGGCTACTGACGTTGTTGCCCTTGCCGGGAGCAAGCGGCGCGCTGTCGGCCTTCCCGAACCCGATGCGTACCGTCTGGCCGTTGGGCATGCCGATGTTGCCACCGAGGCGGTTGAGGACCTCGTCCTTCGCCCGGATGGCGTCCGCCATGTCGACGAAGTTCACAAAACCGCATTCCTAAGGGGACCATCGCTCAGCTATGCGGACAGTTATGCGACTCGAGACCGCGAACCTTTTCGGGGAGAAGCCGCAAGCTCTCGATAGCTCCGTAAGGGGCGAACACGTGGATGAGCTGCTCGCTGGTCACAGAGCTATCCAGATTGCCGATCCAAAGCGAGCGCGTGGGCGTCTGCGTTTGCGACGACGATCCCTCCGACTTCGGGGACACCGCGCGACCCTGGTTGGAAGGGGCCTGGAGATAGGGCGATGCACGGTCCCCTGCGAGGTCTCCACCGGGAAAGTGAACGGAGGTGGCCGCGGCGCGTCCGACCGCAGCCGCCCTATCCGACTTGAGGATGCCGGACGGCGTCATGGCGTGGCCGGCCGCGTTATAGACATTGCCTTGATACTCGTTGATGTACCCGCTGTTCAAGAGGCCCGCGACCGACGCGCGGCGCTGCATGCCCCGGACGGGATCCTCGAGAGTGCCGACGGAGACCGCGCGTTGGCGCGATCCAAGGGGTCCCGTCTCCGGGGCGAGATGGTCGCCATGCTTGAAGCCCTTGGCGATCTGCGTCGCGGGCGGGAAGTAGCTCCCTGCGTCGTACGAGTCGACGCGCTGGCGGGTGTAAGCCGAGCTCGCGTAGTCATCGTACATGTCTTCCTCGTCCCCATGCGGGGTACCGAGCAACGAGCCGCCCGCGCCAAGACGTTGACGGTACGGGTTGGACACCGTGCTCGCCCTGGCGCGGGAAGACGGGTTCGGGATGTTGCCGGTGATGGCGGCCTGTGCCTGGTTGCGCAGCTGGGAGATCGTCGCCGGACGCTGGCCGTCGGCCAAACCGAGGTAGTCGAGCGTGTGCACGTCAAAGTCGTCCGCGCCCGAGTCCATGGACGCGACGGAGCGCATCTCGTCGAGGGTGTGCATCCCCCCCGCACCAGCACCGCCGTTCTGGTCGGGCACCCACCCGGACGAGAAAAGGGAAGACCCAAAGGCGTTGCTCATGCTCTGCTGGCTCGGGAGCGTGAGCGAGCCGGAGCGAAGGCGGGCGTGGCGTTCGCCGAGCGCGGAGGACGGGATCGAGGTCGCGACGGACGCGGTATGGCGCAGGTTGGGCCGCACCGGGTTGACGGCGGGCGGCGTCTGGGCCGACATCTGGAGCTGCTCCGCGAACGATTCCGTCGAGCCGGGGGTGCTACCGAGCGTGCTGGAGGCCGCTGCGAAGCGCTGCGCGGCGAGGTGGACGTTGGAGGGCAGGGTCCCCGCGCGCGCCCTGCGGAAGCCCGGGGGATAATTGCTCGGGGGAAGGGAACCAGCGTCGGAAGGGTTCGTCGCCGATGGGAGGTCGGAGGTCTGCGAGGCCAGCGCGCGCAGCGCGGGAGGCCTGTATCGTCCAGCAGAGGCCCCGATGCCACCGCCCACTTCCGCTTCCATCTCTCTCGCCCTGCGCTGGACGTCAGCGAGGCTTCCCTCGACGGCAAACGCTACGGACCTCTTGGCAAAGGCGGCGGACGGAGCCGGTGGCGGCGTTTTGCCAGACGTTCCCCGGGAGTATCCACCGGCGTTGTCGTTGGCGGATAAGGACATTATACCGAGTGATACGACGATCGATTAGGTATTACGAAGGTACGGGCCCTGGTGAATCGACGAGACGAGGAGCCGTTGTAAAGAGGCCCTCGGCGTCGTCGGGAGGAAGGGGGATGGAATAAGTCGACTACGAGCAGTGTAGAGCTGCCGGGGAGATCGTTGGTCGTAAATTGATGGCGGCGGTCAGCTGGGCGGGTTTTTTGAGGATAATATAAACCAAAAGTCGCCTCGAACTAAGGTAGATGCGGATGTTCCTCCCAGAACTATTAGAGACTGCCTCCAGGAAATAGTACTAAGTAGGACAAAACTATGGGGGGTCGTGAGGAAAGAGGAGGAGGGCAAGGGACGGGGGCAGGCGTGACGCGGTCCCTTTTTAGCAGGAGTTTGGGCGCCCGGCCGGTCTCGAGCTCGTGGCCCTTACCCCCCTTGTATTCCTGCCCGCTTTTCTCACTTCGAAGTGCATCAGCAACTCCAGATATCTCATGAGCTCATAGAGAACGGCACAAATGAACATTCGAACGCAATTTGAGGGCACTCGTTCCGTCCAAGCAAACATGCGTGTTCAACGGGACGTGGCGCCAGCCATGCCCACTCATCACGTCAGCTGATGGACATGGAGATCCAGACGTGCCAAAAACTTTCCGTCGATCCTCACGAAAAATCCATCGATGAGTTACTTTACACACTAGCTTGTATTGGCTAACGTACAGGACTAACGACAAGACTATATAGCTGAGCGGTGTTTACTACTTTGGATCCTCCAACGGCAGCAGGCCTTCGACCTTACTCCCAACCCTCAATCATTGATCGCCGACGGACGCTCCCGGCCCGAAAACCAAGAGTCGTCGGCCTGGGTGAATACCGGACCGCCTCGCGCGACGAGTGGGTGCGAAGAGACGTTGACGACGAGAAGAAGAAATAGAAAAGGCGAAGAGGACTCTGGCGCACGTATTGGATACAGTTCTAAGCTTCACAGCTGAATATCGCAGGTCCAACGAGGGGCATGGGTTTTAACAATAATACATGCAGAAAGCGAACCGTGCTGGGGCAGACCGGGACGGGAGGAAGGAATATGGTAAATCGATTATTCAGTGCGTGGCGGAAACGGGGGTGTTCGTCGTCATCAATCATCTCGAAGATTTCGTCGCGGAGGCGGTCCTTTTGCTAGATCGCCTCGTCATCGTGCGTTCCCGGACGGCCACGGTGGCAGCATGGGCAGCGACGCGTTTGGAGCGTCGTAGCGGCTTGTTGCTGTCCGCGGCGGGAGAGGCAGCGGCGGCGACGTCGACGTCGACGGGTTCCGTCGTGGACATCGTGCAAGGCTGCACCTCCCAATCAGGAATGCCACACAGCGTGTGGAACATCTCCTCCTCGGTGGGGCTAAGCGGGGTATCTGTGGCCAACGCGTCTTCGGCAGCGAGCGGTTTGATGTCGAGTGAATCGAAGGGTGGGTGAACCGAAAGAATATGATCCTCAACGATGTCCCATCGCGGCACGTCTTCTTCCCACAGAGCGTCGCCAGGCCGCACCGTTCTGATGGACGACTGCGACGTGCGCTTCGTTTCCGTTGTCGAGCGGGGTTCTGGTGCGGAGCTGTCGTCCATTTGCGAGCCCGTGGATGCGAATGATGCCGAAGCTGTAAGCCGAATGAAGTCAATCAAAGGCATGACGTAAACAGAGTAAATGGATGCGAACCTTGTCGTGCACGAGCATCCGGCGAGGACGCAGGACTCGGCCGGAAGAAGGGGGAAGAAGCGCTCTCTGTGAGAACCTCCGGGGAATCCAAGGAACGAACAGAGGACGACAGCGAGGGCATCGACGACAAACTTGGGGAGGGAGAAGGTACGTCAGATTTCGATTCCACGGGAGCAGTGGGTAACGGCGTGTTGACGCGACTAGGAGGAACGGCCGTGTCCGTCATCGAGAGCGTAGGACGCCGGCCACCTCTCCACTCGCGATCATCAAACTCGCGCTCCTCCACGGTATCGGGCCCGAGAAGCTGCACATCCGTCCACTGAAGTTCGCTGGGTTGATGGGAAGTCGAAGGTGGAATCCGGCGAGGTACGGTAGGTGATACGGGGGAGTGAAGGGTGAGCGCGGTAAAGTCGAGCGTTGGCGATGACGAGCGTCTGCTGCTATCGGCCCCAGCAGCGAACGAGACGTCGGCAAAGTACCCATCGACGTCAGCCTCGTCCTCCTCCTTAACATGGGCAGCGTCATCGTCGTCCATGAGCCATGTCGGGGACTGCGTGCGGTACTGCTTCCAGTCCCACGTGTCGAAGTCCTCCGTCTTGACCGACGACAGTCCGCCAGCAGCAGCCTGCATGACGATCTCGACAACCTTCGAACGTTCGTCCATGGTCGCCCACGCGCTTGGATCGCTCGGCTCCTGCTTGACCACAACATCGTCCAGATCCGCAGCGGAGGGAGGCGACTGAGGCGCAGGGCTATCCTCCCAATGCGTCTCGATATCGCTCTCTCCGAATTCCTCGTCCTCATCCGCGTCGAAGGCCCAGTCGGCATCCATATCCTCATCATCAGAGAAGGGCGGCTCCTCGGCAGACGAGTACCGCCGAGCCCCGGCCGAGTCCCAATCGTGGCCATCAGCGGGGACCTCGTCATCAGAGTCTGGAGGGGGCGAGGCGTCGCTATGGGTGACGGACGCAGATCTGCGGAAGGGCAGCACGACAGGAGCTTCCACCGAAGGAGGTAATGCGAAGGATAGGCACCGGCCGTCTGACGATACCGTGTAAGGCGGCATGGAAGTAGCTCGCACTGACGGATACGCGGGTGAAGGTCGTTGATCCATCGGAACATCTGGCACGGGATGGGACTCCACAACCGGAGACATGGAGACCGAGTCGTCTTCAGACACATCCGCAGAATCGTCAGAGTCATCCGAGTCGGAGTCCGAGTCGGACATCTTGGACAAGTCGACGATTTCTCTTGATCGAGTAGCAGACGCGGTCGGCGACACGGAAGACGGCGACGGCGTCGAAGGCGACAAGCTCGCCCGGATGAGGCTCGGCTTGAGGCGCAGCGTCAGCTTCACCTTCGGCGGCGGTTTCTCCGCGTCCGAGCCCGAATCCGACGCCGCGCCCTTGTCCGCGCACGCTCTGGGTAGCCTCTTCCTCTTCAGCCCCCGGTTCGCCGCCCGCCTAGCACGGTCCCTCTCCCTCTTCTTCTCCCTGTCCGTCGTCGGCATATACCCCACCTTCCCGTTCTCGCCGTAGTCGCACAGCCTGATCCCGGCGCGGCTGAAGGGGCACGGCGCGCCGGCGGCCTTGCTGAGGTACCAAACCATGGTGCCCTTGCGAAAGTTGGTGAGCCGGTTGTCGCCGGTGGGCGGATTGCAGTGCGCGCCGCCCGAGCGCGAGTGGAGGGCGGGGAGGAGGTCGTCGTCCGAGGGTGTGCCCGACAGCACGTGGCGGAGGAGCAAGGGATGATCTTGCTCGACATCACATCGATGCATGTGCGCGCGGAT